GGGCCGAGCGGCCATCCCCCTGCCTCTGTCTGGCCGTCCCTCCTCCCTCTCCTTTCGCACCCTTACCTCTTTATACCGCACCACCCGGGGACCCCTGCGCCCCTCCCCTCCCCGCTGGCCGCATGGACTGTCCCGCAGGCCGCTGATGCTGCCCGCAGCGAGGTGGCCCGGACCGCAGTGCCCAGAGAGAGGTGAGTGCCTGGCAGGCCTGGAGGAGGCGGGCGTCTGAGTGCTTCCCGGGGGGTGGGAGGCGGGTGGAGGTCGCACGTCCAGCTTCTGTTGCAGCTGCCGTGGTGTCCACTCCCATCCCCCACCGCCCAGATCCCCTCCTTCCCGGGTTCGAAATCTCCCGGGAGTCACTGTCATCCCGACTGAGAGGGGAGCGCACGAGGGAGGTACTGCCCTTTGAGCCCCACAGACTTGTCTCAGGCCACTCTGAGTCCGTCCGCCCCCCCACCCCCTGTGGGGCTGGCTGGAGCCTCGAGGGAGGGGGTCAGCATGGGCCAGGGCCCAGGAGATAGGGTGATTTGCCATTCCCTACCCAGGGCCTCTCTGCAGGTTCCCTGGTCTGCCTGGATCTGACCCTTTACCCATTCCCCACCGCGGAGGCCCTGCCGACTCCAGGAAGCCCAGGGCCCAGTCACCTCCCTTAAGCCAGCCAGAGATTGAACCTGTCACCATGGGCCTCCCAGAAGACCAGGCCTAAACCAAGGGACCTCTGACCCTTGGGTGGGGAAACTGGGCAGGGCCTCTGTCCTGGGTGGAGGTGTCACTGGGCATTAGGACCATGCCCCCACTCCCTGGCAGCCTGGTCAGCCCATTCTCCCAGGCTCCTCAGGGCCCAGGCCAGGTGTCAGGAAGGGGCGTGTCCAGCCACCAGATCCTTGGAGCTTAACTAGGGGTTCACCTTCCCTCCTGTTTTGTAGACCAAAGGACTGAGGCTCGAAGAGGGAAGTTGCTATCCCAGGCCTTTGGCAGAGTTACACTGTCTATCCTTTCATCCCTCCCACTTCGCAGAGCTGGATGCTTTGGGTAGAGGGGAACCGGGGAGCCACTTTCACCCACCAAGGATATACGCCCCTAGCTTGGCCCGTGGGACCTTGTGGGGTGAGCACGTGCTCCCCCACAGAGGGCTAGAGAGGAGGGAGAGAGCTTCCGGCCCCAGTTCTGCCTGGGTCTGGGCTCAGGCAGCATTGGCACTGCCCATGGGATTTCCCCCTGGTGCCAGAGGCCAAGTCCCACTGACGGGATGTGGTGAGTGTGTAGGGGCACCCGTGGGATGTAGCCCTGGTGCTGAGCTGAAACAGCCTGGTCGTCATTCCAGACCCATCCGTCTCACATCTTTGGCCCAACTAGTGTAGGAGCAGCCGAGTTCAGAACAAGAATGGGATCTGGATGAGGAAGGCGAGAGCCGTGTTCCCACAGGGAGCACCATACAGCCTTGGCACAGGAGCATTGTCAGAGTGGGGACACCCGGGGGTCTCTTCCAAGTTCCACACAACCTGATAGACCCAGTGTCTTTCTTGGTGGGGGCCCAGCAGGAACAGGGTGAAGGCAGCAGGAAGGAGATTGGGAGCATGGCAGGATCCTCTTGCTCCTGGAAGTGTGGGAGGTTCCCTGGAGGATGCTGAGCCACGTCTGAGGCCCCTTGGGGCTGCTGGCAGTTTTGTCCTGCTGGGGCCTCTGCCCTTGATTTAGAGTTGTTTCCGGTTACCCTGACATACACAGTGGAGGGGACCCAGATGTGGAGCCTGTGAGGCTGCCCTCACCCAGCCCCACACCCAGCTCTAACTTCCTTTCCAGCCTGAGGGCCTGGAGCTGAAGGCTGACATGCTTGTGCTTTTGTATCAACTGTGAGCCTTCGGGTGCAGCCTGAGGTCCCTGGGCCCTTGTAGAAAGGGGTCTGGCTTCAGGCAAGCACATGTGCAGGGGTTTGCGTTTTATCTGGCAAATTTGGTGCCCACCCTCCTCTTCTCTCTGTTGGGTCTGGGACAGAGAAGGACCAGAAGACAGGCTCCAGCACCCTAGAGGTAGAGCCACCACGGAGCAGACCGAGGTACAGGCAAGGACAGAGGCCCAGGGCCCGTAGTGTGGCGTGGCTTCCCCAACCAGCCTGACTGGGCAGGACAGCCTGAGTCCAGTTCTGGGCTCCGTCTTTTGGGGGATTTTGAAGCCTTGGCACATTGTCCCCAAAGAAACTCCCCCAAAGGTGTTCGGTCTGGGAAAGAGAAGGTAGGGAGGGACCGTCATGTGTCCGAGGGGATGTCCTGAATCAGAAAGGCTGTCCTTTGGTAGATGTCCCAGACACCGGGGCCAGAGCTGGGGTGCAGGCGGGTCCCAAGGAAGTGAATCTGAGCTCATTACGAGAAAGCTACAGGTGTAGGTACGTAGTATTTGTTTTCTTAATTTAGAAAGTAACAAAACAGCAGTACGGAAAATTTAGAAAACAAAAAAATCACCCACTGTTTCTTCACCGGCACAGTGACTTGTTAGCATCTTGGTGCTCCCAGCCAGTCTTCCTGGTCTTTTTTCTCGGTCGTCGCTGGTCGCTGCTGTTATCTGAGTGTGGGTGCCATCACACCTTTTCTCATTTGCTGCTGTATCTGGGCATTTTCTCGTGCTGCTACACGGTATGTGTAACTTTGTCTCTAAAAAGCTGCAGGATATTCTAAACAGCTCCGCCGCAGCAACTTCACCCCAGCCCTCTTACCAAGGTTGTTTCCCATCTGTTGCTGTTGTGACTGTTGTTACTACAGGCCCCCAAAGCAGCTGAGAGTATTGGAGAGAGGGGGGCAACTTGGCATCCAGCTGGTGTCCTTCCAGGCCCAACCATGCCAATTAGGCTGGATAGAGGGACCTTGGACAGGTCATCCTCTGAGCCAGAGTTCCTTTATGTACACAGTAGGGCCAGTGATACCTGCTTCAGAGGGGAGTGTGCGGACACTATGAATTAGCCAAGGTACTAGAAGGTGCCTGGCATTGCCCTTTGCCTTCAGTAGGTGCTCTGTAAGAAGAGGTAGGTGTTGTTGACGGAGTGCCCACTGCAGGCTGCCTCAGTGTGTGCAGAAGACACCCAGGCCAGGGTTGGCTGATGGCCCACCCAGCTGAGAGTGGTCTCAGCCCAGGGAACCCCTCTGAAACCCTCTGTCCCTGAGGTTCTGGCTACTCTGGCCAGTGTCTTGTTCCGCCTCCCTGCCTTTCTGTCTTCCCATCACCACGTGGAAGGTGGGCTACTGGTTGATTTCTGGGGCTTGGTCCTACCCATCCTCTGTTCTTCCAGCATCAGAGCTGAATGGACATGGTCTTCTCTGAGAGCCTGGCTACCTCCTGTCCCCCAGCTTCAGCTACTAGTCCAGCCCCACATTTTACCAGTGGAGATAGAGGGATAGCCTTGCCAGCCTCATCTTTCCAGCCTTTCCCCATGGCGGGGGGCATGGGGGTGGGGCAGAGAGTCTAGAGCCTCCCAGCCGGGAGTTGGAGGGGAACATAGATGATCCACAAGTCACTGGGGAAGTCTTGTGTGTTAGCGTCGTTCTCTTCAACAAGTGCTCCCCGGGTCTAACCTGAGTGCGTACTGCTATGGCATCACTTACTTCCCTAGGGCCACCCCATGGACAGTGGGAGGAGACTAGTCTCAGCTTGGCACTCCCAGGGCCTAAGAGACCACAGCCCCAGACGACCCGGTATGGCTCAGCACTGAGCTCAGGACTGCTGTAGGCAGAGGGCCCTCCCTCAAGTGATCCATTCAGTGCAGAGTTCTCCCAGGCATGACCTTGGGCTCTGGCTGCCAGACTTTTGCCTGTGGCGTGTCTCCCTCCTCCCTGGTCTTGGTGCACGGGAAGTGGGCATTACAGCTGCCCTCCTGTCCCACAGCTTGGGCTGGGATGAGGTCACAGGGTGCAGTCTTCTCCAAGATGCTGGCCTGGCTGGGGTGAGTCCTTTGGGTGTTTCTCGGTGCCCCCATCCCTGGTTGGGCACAGGATGGGTGGAGGAGCAGGCCACCCCCCACACCAGACAAGGAGCACTGCCTCCCTTCCTCCTCTCCTCTGGGTCCCTTCATCCAAGGGCTGGAAATAGAATCCGCTAAGTAATGATTAAAGTCAAATTCAGACCTAAAAATAAAGAGCTGGTGAAGGAAGAGCTAGTGTGCTCCCTGCGTGGCTGAGGAGAAGCGAGCAGGGCGAGGCTGGCTCCGGGGGGCCAAGCAGCTGCTTCTTGGGAGGGTCCAGAGCCCACTGGGGGCTCAGGAGCACTGTGCACTAACTGGGGGGAGCGGGGCTCTTGTTTGGGGCGTGATGCAGCCCACACCAATCAGGGTAGACCGTCAGGACCAGGTAGAGAGTCCTGTTTTCCCATGGGGAAACTGAGGCCCAGAAGGTAGAAGAGGTTTGTCCAGCAACTATCTGGAAGCTCCCCTTGGCAGACCCCGGGGACCTGAGGGCCCCACGCAGCCCAGCTCGCCTTGCTGCCTGCTCAGTTTCTCTTCCTGGTTTTGAGGTACTGCGATAAGAGGGGCTCCTCGTCACACACTAGCTTTGTACGCCTCAGTGGGGTTGGGCCTCCAACCGCAGCTTCCCTCTGCCTCCCCCTCCCCTTCTGTGGTCTGGGCCCTGAGAAGCAGAAGAGAGGCTGCCTGGCGCCCCCCCTGCTGGTCCTGCTCTCCTCACTATTGGAAGCCTTGTGGGTGGGTGAAAACCTGGGTGTCATCTGATGCCTGCATACCCTGGCTGCTGCTTCTCAGCCCTGCCCAGCCCCGCCCTGGTCCTCACCCAGGCCTGGACGTCTGCGGCCTGTGCTGTCCATGCTGCAGGCAGCCTGGAAGGGAGAGGGAAGAAGGAACCCTGAGAGCCCCGCTACCAGCCAGTAGAGGAGACCAGAGTCAGAGAGGAGTCAGTCACGGGAGGCCTGTGGTTCCAACTTCCTGGCAGGGTGGGTGGGAGCTCAGAAGCTGGAGATCTGCGTAGGCTGGAGCAGCCAGGAGGGCTTCCTGGAGGGGAAGGGCCATGAAAATCAAGAAGCAGTTGTGAAAGAGGGAGGGTAGGGTCAGAGGTCTTTGCTTGGAGCTGAGGCAGGGTACAGCAGATGAGCAAGGAGTGGGCACAGATGGTAACCCACGCTTCCCAGAGCAGGAGGGCCGATTTCTGGGCAGACCTCTCAGCTGCCCTCCCCACCTGTCTGTCCATTTTCAGGGTTCATCTCTCCTGCCCAAGGAAGAGGTGGAGGGTTTTCTCCCTACCAAGTACAGACAAATCTGAGCTCAACTCCTTGCTTTATATCCCTTGGAAGCTGGGTTACCCTCCTCAGCCTGCTTCCTCCTCTGTCAAACAGATCAACAGTGAAACCCCATGGGGTTTTTGAGGGTTAAGTAACTAAGGCAGGATTGGGTCAGGAGGCTCTCCCTCCCATGCTTTCATTTTTAGTCTATTCTGTGGGGGCAGGGTGTTGGTAACTCCTCTCCCTCACCTCAAAGTCTATGAGTTGTGTGTCCCTTGAATTTGGCCCCCATAGCTTTACCTTCTGAGTTATGTGTTCTGTGGGTCCCAGTTCTGAGATGTGGAGACCAGGAATCTGGGGAATCTAAATAGCCCACCAGCCTTTGGGGTGAGGGACAAGGACACTGCTTTTTAAGGGTTCATTGGAGGTCAGTGCTGACAGGCTGTATGCAATGTGGGCAGATGAAGATGCAAAGACCACAGCCTATGTAGACAGGGGGCGGTGGAACCAAGGCCTGGGTTAGGGCCCTGGGGAGGCCTGGAGTCCCCACTGCCCAGTGCATGTAGGTAATTAGGCTCCTGAGCGGTAATTAGAAACCTTTCTGGGCCAGGAGTGTCAGCCTCAAGCCGCAGCGGTGCCTGGGGGAGGAGGCTCCCCGTTAGCCTCCTCTGACTCCAGCCCCCACCTCTCCCAAACCACTAGACGGGATTTCCGGTCCCACTGAGCCACTGGGGGCAGGAAGAAAGCCAGTGAGTTGCTATAGTTTGGTTCTTAATATTTTTCAGCCATTAAACTCACCCTTCCCCTTAGGGCAGAGGTGCTGAAGGCTGAAGGAACCCTGGGGGTCGGGGGGTGGGCAGCACACTGGAGATAAAGTGGGACTGTCCTTCCAGCCCTCTTCTGACCCCCAGGGAGGTTCAGGCCTCTATGCCCAGTTCTGCGGCTGCCCAACCCTGAGACATCTGTACAGTGGATATGCTGAGGGCCCTGGGACCACCTGTCTGGCTCAGTGGGAACCCTCCAGCCCATGGCCTGGTGTGTGGCCAGGGGCATCACAGTGACCTCAGCCTGGGTGCCCTTTGCAGAACCAGAGGTGGGCTGATTTTAGGCCACCAAACCAGCCTAGCTGCCGGCAGTTCCCCGCCTCCTCAGGTGCCCTGCCCTCGCAGAGGGGCGGGCCCAGGTGGAAACTCACTTCTGCTTGTATCTGCCCTGGGGACCTGCCAGAAACTTCTGGCCTGGCTGGGTTTAAAGCCTCTGCAGACCCCTACCCTGAGTCTTCTTCAGCCTTAATTAACTCTCCGGACCACAGTTTGAAATCCTAAGCTTGACCTGATCTAGTACAGTTGCATCTACCTGAAATCCTCTCAGTTCCAGGTCTCTTCCTGGGAGCCTTCCCCTCCCCCCATCCCATGGTCTCTTCTCCCCTGAGGCTGGCTGTGACTGACCATCTAGTAGCCAGGAGGGCAGGAGCAGGGCTGCATTTTGTTGGATGCCTTGGGCTAGGCACAGAGAGGCACTGAGTAGCAATCTTGGGGTCCCGAGGGCCCCTGGTCCCTTCCCCCCTGTCCATCCCGGCCCACCACACATGGGACTGGGCCCACAAGAAGGCTCCTGAAACAACGGCTCCAAGAATGAGGGCAAAATGGACCTGCCTGTTGCTTCCAGGGGCTGCCCTGTCCTGCAAAGGCTCCAGCTGGGTCCTGTGGCAGGACCAGAGTGTCTGGGGGCTGGGGCCCCGAGTTCCCCCAGATCTCTTGTGCACTTCCCTTTTCAGTGGGTATTTTTAGCTGGGTGTAAACAGTTACTGAAGGCTCCCACGCCCCATTAGGCAGTGGAGTTTTGGTGAGGGAGGCAGGGCAGGAGCCCCTTGACCTACCCTGGCCCTCAGCACGTGCTTGGCCCTGGGGGTCTACAGCTGCCCCAAGCCAGGGAAAGGGCAGCCTAGGAGTTTCTGGGCTCCCCCCTCCCTGCCAGCCTGGATCCCAAGAAAGGCCTGCCTGAGGCTGTGGCCACTGACCTCAGCGCTTGGGCACAATGCCCAGCCTGTTCCCGGGACCCCAGCACAAGGGCCACCAGGAGCAGGGTTTGGGGCAGGAAGTCAAAGAGAAAGCCCCCTGTCCCCCGGCCCTGTGGGGGTGGGGTGGCAGCTGCCATCCCTTTGGGGTTAAATATAGTCCTGTCGGTTACGGGGCCTCATCGTGGTGCCGCCAGCCTAGCTTCCCCCTGTTGTCTGTTGACTCGTTCATTCATTTAGAGCCACTCACTGAGCAGTGTTCCGGGCCCCAGCCCCTGCTGGGGTGTGAGTCAGCCACCAGCTCTCCTCCTGCAGGGCTCCCAGGCCAGGGTCAGTGAGGTTCTCACTGGAGCATGGGATGTGAGAGGCTGTGGAAGCCCGGAGCAGCTCACACGGCTGGGGGACCACAGCAGGCTCCTGGCAGAAGTGGTTTTCAAAAAGTTATATATTTCCTTACTCATCTTGTTTTTAGGGGGAAGGTAATAAATGCATGTGGTTAAAAAGAAAAAAGGTCAAAAGAACACAAATAGCAAAGGCACAATGAAAAGTAAATCTCCCTTCAACTTGATACTCACTCCTTCCCATTCCCAGAGGCAACCTTGGTTATCGGTTTGCTCTATCTTTCGGAGATCATCTCTGCATATCTGAGGTTAGGGATAAATGGCGCGTCCTTTGAAAAAACAGCAGTTTGTAATGTGCCATGGATGATCCTGCACTTTGCTTTTTTTTCAGTCTTTTATTTTGAGTATTTCAAACCTACCAAAAAGCTGAACTAATAGAATAATGAATACCCGTGTACACTTTACCCAGATTCACCAGCCCTTAACACTTTGCCACATTTGCTTTACTTCTTTTATATACACAGTCATATGTGTGTCTGTATTTTTTTTGCTGATTTATTTGAGTGTTAGCTGCAGGCATCATACCTTTCTCTCCTAAGTACTTCAGTGCAAATCTCTTACATAATCGCAGTACCATGATCACACTTAAGATAACTAACATTAATTCCATAATATCTAACATTTTCATTTTCCCAGTTGTCCCCAAGTGATCTTTATTGCTATTTTTTCCCTTTGATCCAGAATCCAATTCAGGATCACTCATTGAATCTTGTGGTCATCTGCCTTTTCTTTCTTTTCCAGCTTTATTGAGATATAACTTCTGTTTAGTATTGTGTAAGTTTAAGGTGTACAACGTGATGATTTGATATACGTGTACGCTGCAAAACAATTACCGCAGGAAGGTTAGTTAACACATTCTTCACTTCACGTAATTACCATTTTGTTGTGTCCTGTTTAATCCAGAACATTCTCCAGCCTTTGTTTGTTTGTGTTGTCTTTTATGACATTGGCTCTAAGAATCCAGACCAGTTGTCGGGGCTCCATCTGCCTGCGTCCTCCTGATGGGAGCCAGGTTGAGCCGCTCTCCGGGACCATCGCACAGGGGTGCTGTGCCCTCCTTGGCGCTCAGTGTGCTTCTCTCGTTATTGGTGATGCTTAATTTGGTCACTTGGGTAACAGGGTGTCTGCCAGGTCTTATTGTGGAGGTGCTTTTTCCTCTGGCTGGTTAATCTGGAGGGTGGTACTTGGATGCCGTGTCACGGTCCTATTCCTCCAGCAATGTTTCCTTCTTGACTTGAGCTGGCTTTTTGCCACTTTTACTTACTTCGTCATGGGCAGGTGCTGTATCAGCACATAGAGCTCTGTCCTGGCCTTGTCATAGCTGAAGTGATGTTGTTCCCTTTTAGGCATATCTGGTCATATGTTTACTCAGTGCCTTATTGATGGGTGTAAAGGTTGTCTCCCAACCTCTTGCTACTACAAACAGTACCGCAGAGACTGTCCTGCTATGTTTTTTTTCAGACATACGTGCAACAGAAGTGATTTCTCAGCTGCACCCCAACGGTTGAGTGGAAGTTCCTTGGGCAGAGAAGGGGCAATGCCAAGGCAGGGAGGTGGGCAGGGCACCCGTGTCCTAGGACCAGCAGGTGAGAAACGGGTCTGGCTCAGGTGCTGGAGAGCCAGCAAGTCCCAGAGAGGTCAAGGGACTTGCCTAAGGTCACACAGCAAGTTGGCGGCAGAACCAGGAGCTGGACTCAGAGCCCCTGACTCCCAGAACAGTGTTTCTGTACTTCTTTCACAAAGTGGCCTGAAACCAGGTTCACATAACCTGGAAGGGCCCCTCTGTGCCTGACCAAGGCAGACTAGAGGCCTAGGTTTGTAGAAGCCCCTCCCAGCCATTCTGGCTCTTAGCCTCTGACCTGGAGGGGGATAGCCCAGCTGGACCTTCAGGGCCCTAATGAGGAGGCCACCCTAGCCTTCAACTTTGGCAGGGAGGAGCCATCAGGGAAGTTCCACAGCTTGAGGGCTGGCAGGATTTCTGTGTGAAGAAGGTAGGCCTCAGAGCAGCCCTGGGAGCTGTAGGATTATCACCAACCCATTGTGTAGATGGGGAAACTGGTCCCAGAGTCACAGCCAGTAGAGCAAAGAGGAGAGGTTAGTCACTCCCTCTCCTTCCCAGGTCTGTCATCCTCAAAACCCAGCCCCTCAAGGAAGCCCATCCTGACCACTCCTGGGCTCAGCCCTTCCTCTGAGCACCACTTGCTTCTCCCTCCGCCCTTGTACTCTCTTTTCTAGGCCAGTGTGGTCCTGGCCTCCCGGCAGCTCCTGAAGCCTGGTGCAGGCACGCAGAGCAGGGAGGCCTCCAGGGTCGGGGCCAGACTGGCCCGCTGGCGCAGGCGTCTGACACCCGTCTGGGGCAGGGTGCTCACTGGAGGTGCAGCCTCACGCAAGGCTGCTTGACCTCCTGGCGGCTTGGGGTCCTCATCTGTAAAATGGGGATAATGATAGCCTCTCTCTCAGTTCTCAGAGAATTTGATGAGCCATAATGTGCCAAGGACAGGGGCTGGCGTAGAATAAGTGCTCAGCAAACAGGGCCTGTTATTATTTTTATTATTATCATCAAGTCAGTGGGGAGGCGGCGGCAGCAGCTGCAGGCCGGGAAGGGAGTGTTTGCAAACTGACAGCTGGGAGGGTGACTAACGGTGCCTCAGCCCCCGCGCCCTCCCACCTTCCCTGGTGGCGAGTCTTGAGAGGGAGGGGGAGGCATGGGGATGCGGAGAGCTGGCAGAGCCCCTCCTCTGAAGGGCCTGAAGGTTGAGGGCCCAGCCAACCACAGAAGGACCCCAATTCGAGTTCTAGATTGTCACCCCTAACTAGCTGTGCAACTTAGAGCAAGTCATTCAAACCTCATGAGCCTCAGTTTCCATTTCTGTAGAGTGGGTGTAAGAAGGCTCCCCACACGTGGTCCTCGGGAGCCCAGGAGTACCTCCTGTACTCATGGTGGCTCAGTCATGTCAATGTGTGTGTGTGTAGGGGGTCCAGGCTCCTCCTTCGGCCCCAGGCTCTCTGTCCAGATGGCAGAGGGTGACGGGCTGACCCTGGGACAAGAAGCACTGTGTGTTCTGGGAGGAAGGGAAGCCCTTTTTCCCAGTGGTGTGGGAGTGGAGGTAATGCCAGGCTGTGCGCCAGGCACTTCCAAGTCTGGGGTCTCATCCCACTCCCTCCACAGCCTTCTTGCAGGGATCCCTGCCTCTGCCTTCAAGGTGGGGGATCTGAGGCTCGGAAGGGTTGAGTCATTTGCCCGAGTTGCATACTCGGCAGAGCCTGGTCTGTCTACCCTAGAGCCAGGAGTGAAGCCTGGAAATGGTGATGGTTCTCCCCGACTCCTTCTGGTCTCCAAGACCACACACTCCCCTGCTGAGGCCCCCAGGCCCCATGGCAAACCCTGCTTCCTCATGTTGGCGTTAAAAGCCCCGCCTCCCTGCAAGGTTTGTGCCAGGCAGGCCTAGCCAACACCATCCTTTGCAGCAGACTGATGGGGTGCTCAGACCGTCAAGGATGTTTCCCACCCTCCTCACCATGGGCTTCCAGCCTGGGCTGCCTTTCTAAGCCCTCCAGCCTTCAGGGCTGGGTTCCAGCGCTCCCTCCTCCAGGAAGCCCACCTAAGCTCTGCAGTCCCTGCTCACCTTACACCCCTAGGCGCCCCTTTCACTCAGATGTCTTCTCCCGCTGCCTGGCCTGGGGTAGGTGGTAATGTTTGTGAGTGTCAGCCGGTTCCCCAGACCTGTCCGTCCTGCACATGAGCCTGGGAACAAGGCACAGAAGAGTTTTTCTTCACACTATGAAGTATGTTAGAGGAAGAGGAGACATCTAAGCCTTAACTGCCTGTCTCCTCATCTGTAAAAAGAGAAGAGCAGCCCCAGCCTCTCTGCTTCCTGAGACCGGAACACGGGGGGTCTGGGCTGTGTGGGAAGGTGGTGGTGGAACTGGGGGCTCTGAGCTGGGGCCACAAAGAATATGTGTGCAGGATGGGTTGGCCTGCTGCTCTTGGGGCATGGGGTTGGCTGGGGTAGCTTTTGTTGGGGGGGCCAACTTCATTGAAATAAACATACACCAAAAAGTGCACCAACCGTAAGGGTACAGCTCCGTGAATTGCCACAGAGTTGAACTCGCCCCCTTCCCGTCACGGCCCCCACCCAGGGCAGTCGCCATGCTGCACTGGGAAACCCCCAGATTTTGAACTTTATACAAATAGAATCATGTGGCACGTGTGCCTTCTGTGGGCGTCTCGGTTAACGTGACGTTTAGAAATGCATTCGTGTTGTTTCATAGCTGTCGTTTATTCACATCCGCCGCTGGGCAGTGTTACGTCCTGTGAATACCCGGCTCACGCTCCTCTCGCGATGGGTGTCTGGCGGGTTCCGAGTGTGGCGCTCGCTACAGGCTGTCCCGCTGTGCTGGCTCCCGTGCCTGTCTCGGCGACGCCTGCCCTGCTTTCTCCCGGCTGTGTGGGGAAGTGGGGTGGCCAGGCTGTGGGGTCAGCACACATTTGGCTTCAGAGGTACTCCTGGGGCGAGGTTTTCTAGGTGACGGAACTTAGAGGCCCACAGAGGACAAGTGACTTCCCCAAGCCCCAAAGCACCTTCCCAGACTCACCGCTGCCCTGTGAGCCTGGTGGCCCCCCAGACCACTTAGCCAATGTCAGGGTGTGAGGTGGGCAGGCAGGGGCTGCCCACCCCTACGCCTCCTTAGCCTCTGTTGGTCATCCTGTGGCTGTAAAGGCCACGACAGGCTCCAGGTTGAAAGCCCTCTCTGTGCCTGGAGGTCCTCTGCGCTCATCTCCTGCCTCCTCCCCATCTAGTGCCCTCAGCTCCTGGGGCAGGAAAGGAGTGGGATCTCAGTGACTTGAAGGAGCCATCTCCTCACACACACACACCCCCCTCAATCTTCCCCTTCCCCACAGCTCTCATGGTACCAGGTGACAGGTCGGCCTTCCTGTGACACGGGGACGCCAGATCTTCTGAGAAGATGTCGGCAATACAGGTACTTCAGGGGCAGGAGTCTAAGGCAGAGGAGTATCCCCACCGCTGCCACGGCAGTGCTGAGGGAAGAGAGGGAATGAGGGTTCAGATCAATTCGCTTCCCTTTTCCCCAACCCTGGCTTTCAACAAGGTAGAATTCCAGGGTGCACTGTCAGACACAGGGCCCTCAAGATGGGAGCCCAGGTCTGGGGGCGGTGGGGAAATCTCAGCTGGAAGGCACTGAGTATTCTGGGGTAGGGGCACCTCACCCAGGTTCATGGAGGCTGACCAAGAGTCTGTGACCTCGAGGTTGTGCAGACAGGTGTGTGGGGATGACCTCGGGCTGCACCCACCCACCTGTCACCTGCCCTGCAGGCCACCTGGCCATCCGGTACAGAATGTATTGCCAAGTACAACTTTCACGGCACTGCTGAGCAGGACCTTCCCTTCTGCAAAGGAGATGTGCTCACCATTGTGGCCGTCACCAAGGTAATGAGGGACCTTACACCCCCAGCCCCTCCTTCCTCTGTGTCCTGGTTCCACCGCAGGAGAGGGTAGGCCTGAGAGTGTGTCTTGTTGTCCCTCTCCCCAGGACCCCAACTGGTACAAAGCTAAGAACAAGGTGGGCCGTGAGGGCATCATCCCAGCCAACTACGTCCAGAAGCGGGAGGGCGTGAAGGCAGGCACCAAGCTCAGCCTCATGCCGTGAGTACCTCTGAGAAGCAGCTGGGGTCTCCCAGTCTGGGGAGGAAGGGCGACGAGGAACCCTGGTTCCCCCGGAAGAGAGTCAGAGGAAAACAGCGAGGCAAGAGGAAGGGGCTGGGATGTCTGCAAGGGCTTCTTGAGACGAAGAGAAGGGTGTGGGTGCTGGACCTCAAAGGGGAGGACAGGGCTAGGACTGAAAGATGAGGGCTTCCAGTGCCTGACCGAGCCACGGAAGCGCGGGGGAGAGCCTGCCAGAGGAAGGGCCTGCAGGAAGCGGAGCCTGGCAGGTGCATGGGGAGGCTGCCGGGAGGCATGCCTTTGGGCCACCACGACCCCACGCCTGGCCTCCCCCCAGCTGGTTCCATGGCAAGATCACACGGGAGCAGGCAGAACGGCTCCTGTGCCCACCAGAGACAGGCCTGTTCCTGGTGCGGGAGAGCACCAACTACCCCGGGGACTACACGCTGTGCGTGAGCTGCGACGGCAAGGTGGAGCACTACCGCATCATGTACCACGCCAGCAAGCTCAGCATCGACGAGGAGGTGTACTTCGAGAACCTCATGCAGCTGGTGGAGGTGAGCGGAGTGTCCGTGCCACCCAGATTCCCGCTCCGGTCCCACGGCTTCTGGCCGGGAGACCTTGGGCAGGTGGTGCAGCCTCTGCGAGCACCTGCTGTGTGCCAGTGTTGATCTCTGACCCCGCAATGCCACCACAGGGAGGTGGCACCCCAGTTCATAGGCCAGGAAACAAAGGTTCAGAGCAGTTAAAGGACTGGTCTCCAGTCCCACAGCTGTACACTGGAGGTGGCAGGACTAGAACCTGAGTCTTCCTGATCCCAGAACTAGCTTCCTTCCAGCCACTCGTGCAACTAGGTGCCCAGATGTGTGTATGTAAACATGGCCTTGTGCGCTGTGCCTTGATGGCCCACATGTCCCCCCAGCTCCTGAGGCCAGCTCTGCCCCAGGCAGCCTCCCAGATGCCTCCTGCACTCACGCTCAGTGCCTTCCTGCTGCTGGCCTAGCTTGGCCTGTGGCAGGGGAGGGTCCTGAGCACACTTGGCTAGAGGCTGGTGTCTGGACTGGGCAAAAGCTGACTTCTGCCTCAGGATGCTAGTGAGGCCCAGAGTGGTAGCAACACCAGAGTGGTGTGGGGTGGCACGTGAGATGGACTAGGTGTCTGAGCCTGGGGCCTCCTTAACGCCTGCTGAAAAGCGGAAGCCCTCCAACTGAAAGCAACTCCGGGCTGAGTGGGACCAGCCTCTGCTGCCCTCTGGTGGTCAGACCTGGGCAGTGCATGTGAGACGCTGGTGGTGCACGAGGGTGGGGGCGGGTGGGGGGCTGGCCTTTAGCGCCTGCCCTCCTCTCTGCAGCACTACACCTCGGATGCAGATGGACTCTGTACTCGCCTCATCAAGCCAAAGGTCATGGAGGGCACAGTGGCAGCCCAGGATGAGTTCTTCCGCAGTGAGTGCTACCCCTGTCCCCAGTCCTCACTTGCCTATGTGGCTCCTCCCACCCAGGCTTCCTAGCATTACCCCTATCCCGGAGGCCCTGGAGACCTCCAAGGAACCCCACACTCATAGTCCAGCCTGCCTCTGCTATGACCCCTGCTCCAGCTTCAGCACCCCTCACTGACCACCCCCTCCCCCCAGGCGGCTGGGCACTGAGCATGAAGGACCTGAAGCTGCTGCAGACCATTGGAAAGGGGGAGTTTGGAGGTGAGCCAGAGAGGGTGGGGGCCCTGGGAGGAGCCAGGGACTTCGAGAAGTCCAGGGAACAATCCCCAACTCTCTTCCCCAAGACGTGATGCTTGGTGACTACCGAGGGAACAAAGTTGCTGTCAAGTGCATTAAGAATGATGCCACTGCCCAAGCCTTCTTGGCTGAAGCCTCAGTCATGACGTGAGTTGGGACAATCGGTGGGTGGGGAGGTCACCCCAGGGCTGGGAGGTGATGGTGAGGCTTGGCAGGCTCTGACCACCCCCATCTCCTGCCCCAGGCAACTTCGGCATAGCAACCTGGTACAGCTCCTGGGCGTGATCGTGGAGGAGAAGGGCGGGCTCTACATTGTCACGGAGTACATGGCCAAGGTGTGTGCCTGCCCTGCGATCCAGCCCCCATCCTGGAGCCTGAACACTGGGGCTCACACTTTCCAGCTGCCCCAAGTCCCCCACCACACCCTTGGGCCCCTGCTCCCTCCATCCCTTCTCCCCAGCTGAGCTTTGAAGTCACCTGGGTGTGGCTTATGTCCTGGCTCATCATTTATTCACTACGATCTTGGACAAGTTGTGTCGCCTCTCCAAGCCTCAGGTTCTCACCTGTGAGTGGAGATAATAACAAAGTTTAGCCTTTTCTCACTCCCTCCTCCTCGGAGATGGCCCGCACTCTATCTGGAGTATGTACCTACTTTTACTTTAACCTGAGCACCCAACCCCCACACCTCATGGCCTTTCTCTCACTTTCTGAAACAGCCTGCACTCTATGCAGTATGTTATCTCTCTAAACAAATCTACATTTACCCGGCTGTTAAAAAAAAGTTTACCTCAGAGATTTATGAGAATTAAGAGATAATGCATGAAAATTGCTGAGCACAGCATCCAGCTTGTAGGACCTAATATTCTTTCAGAAGTGATGTCCTGACTCCTCTCCTGCCCCTCCCCTGTCCCTGCACCTCCGTTGAGTGTCACCTTTTACCCAGCCCCAGGCCCACTCTTCCTGGGGTCTGGAGGGCAAATCTGACCTGTGGGGCCTGTTGGTCTGTCTGTCCTGCCCCAGGGGAGCCTGGTGGACTACCTGCGTTCTCGAGGCCGGTCAGTGCTAGGCGGAGACTGTCTCCTCAAGTTCTCACTGTGAGTGAAGCAGCCCCTGGTTGTGGGGGGTCCCGCCCTGCTATGGGAGCCCCCTCTGAGGGGACATGTGGCTGGCTCGCCCCCAGAGACGTCTGTGAGGCCATGGAATACCTGGAGGGCAACAACTTCGTGCACCGGGACCTGGCTGCCCGCAACGTGCTGGTGTCCGAGGACAACGTGGCCAAGGTCAGTGACTTTGGCCTCACCAAGGAAGCTTCCAGCACCCAGGACACGGGCAAGCTGCCGGTCAAGTGGACAGCACCTGAGGCCCTGAGAGAGAAGGTGCGCGGGCCTCTCCCCAGGGCCTGAGCCGCGGTGGGTGGGGTTCCTGGGTCACCCCCAACCCCAGTTCCCAGGATCTGACACTGCTTCTCCCATCCATGGGGCAGAGATTCTCCACCAAGTCTGACGTTTGGAGTTTTGGAATCCTTCTCTGGGAAATCTACTCCTTTGGGCGAGTGCCTTATCCAAGAATTGTGAGTATGGGCACTGGGGCTGAGGGCGGCGGTTGGAGCAGGGGGCCAGGTGGCCGGAGGGGTCTCGCTGGGCCCTGCCTCCCCAGTTGGAGGCCTAGAGGCTGCAGGCCTGCCCTCGGGACCTTCTAGGCCATGCCCCAGGCCCGGGCCTGGGGCAGAGCTGGGGGAGACTTGGAGAGGAATGCTGAGCAGGGGTCCCCTTGGTCGGGCCTTGCTCCAACTCCTGCCACCCATGTGCCTGCAGCCCCTGAAGGACGTCGTCCCTCGGGTGGAGAAGGGCTACAAGATGGACGCCCCCGACGGCTGCCCACCTGCAGTCTACGAGGTCATGAAGAACTGCTGGCACCTGGACTCTGCCACGCGGCCCTCCTTCCTGCAGCTCCGCGAGCAGCTCGAGCACATCAAAACGCACGAGCTGCACCTGTGACCGCTGGCCTCCGCCCAGGCCTTGGGCCTGCGGGGACTGGACCCGAACAGATTGTGGACCTGGTGCCCCCACCTGCTGGGCCCAAACCCGAACTGAGCCCAGCCGGCCAGTGGGCCTCATTCCTCTGTCCCAGCCTGCGCCCCCTCTGGCCCCCAGGGACCCCGCCTAGGCCTGGCACCTTCTCTCATGGACCCACCTGTGTGGCTTCGGGAGCCCCGCCCACGGGCCAGGAAGGGAAGAGGCTGAGGAGCGGGAGGCAGATGCCCCTACCGTGGTCAGGCTCCCCCTGGCCTCCCATCTCTCGCCTTCTTAGAGTTTTATTCCTTTCCTTTTTTGAGATTTTTTCCGTGTGTTTATTTTTTATTATTTTTCAAGATAAGAAGAAAGAAAGTACCCAGCAAATGGGCATTTTACAAGAAGTACGAATCTTATTTTTCCTGTCCTGCCCACGAGGGTTGGGGAGACCAGGCCCCTCTCTAGGGACCCATCGCCCCAGCCTTGTCCCCCACCCCATGTTCTGTGTCCGTGTCGCCTCGGTCGCCCCGTGTCTGCGCTTGACCGTGTTGCACTGTTTGCATGCGCCCGAGGCAGACGTCTGTCAGGGGCTTGGAGTCCGTGTGCCGCTGCCGCCCGCCCACCTGCCTTGTGAGATGGAATCGTAATAAACCGCTCCATGAGGACACCGCTGCCCAGCCTCGGCGCTTCCTCCGCCGAGCCTGCCTGTCCCACCCAGCCCCCACCCCGCGCCATCTTGTTTCCCCCCCCTCCCCCCGTGATTGGGGCTGTGCTTGCCCAGTGAGTGCAGCGGGGAGGGCAGCACTGCCGGGAGATGTAGCCGCTGCTTTGTGTCAGCTGCACGAGCGAGTGTCCTGTGTCTGCTGGGGAAGCTCTCACCGCCACCTCCCCCAGCGTCCTTCTGCTGCCTGGGCTTGGCCCTGGGGCTCGTGCATCCACAGAGTGATACCTGGGAGGTCCGGGCTGCCTCTCCTGCGTGTTGTTCAAGCCCTCAGCACAAGGAGGTTTGGAGCCAAGGATTGACCCACTGGAGATGGGACCCCCTTGGCAGGAGGCAGGCTAAACGTCTGGTGCTTCAGAGGAGACCCTGGATGGGGATGGGGAGGGAGGCTCTGAGCTGCTGGTGGTTCTCAGGATTCATCTAAGATGTAGAATCGCCACCCCATCCCGACCCCTTCCTCACCCCCAGCTGTGCCCAACCCTGTGCCTGGGGATGTGAAGGTGGGGGAACTTCCCTGCCCCACCTTGGGGGGCACAGGTGGGGAATGAGGATCTGCCACAGGATTTTCTCCCTTCAGGTTCCCAGGGCCGGTGGTCAATGCAGAACCTCTGAGGGTTGGGGGAGGTTCACGTCATTCACTGAGACAGGCAGCTGGGGGGTCCCCTTGTCCAGTTGGGGTTCTGACTTTGCAGTGAGCCTTGTGTCTGTTCCTCAGCCCACTGTGGTCTGGGGCCACCACCTCGCTCAGCCCAGTGTTACTGCCTCCTCACTTCCCCAATCTGTTCTGTCTGCTTACTGCCACACTCACTTTTTTCTAAAACTAGACCATTTATTCAACAAACATTTGGATACCTAGTATGTGGTGGGACTGGTGTTCAGCAGTGAGCAAAACAGGCCTGTGGAGTTCACAGTTGAGAAGACAAATAATCACTTAGACAATTACCAATTGATAAGTGCTATGAAAGAAATGTAATTTGGGAATCAGACCTTGTCTGTAGATCAGGGAGGGCTTCTCAGAAGAGGCAGCATGTAAACTGAGATCAGAAGGATAAATGGGAGGTTTGGGGGGGTGGGTAGCAACATTCCAAGAGGGAGGGGCAAGCAGGTCCCCGCTTCCCAGAAGACACAGGAGAGGGAGACTGAGTCTGCCATTAGTTTTCGCCACAAGAATGTCACTGGTAGCTGTAGCAAGACCTGAGTTTGATGCAGACAGATTTCAGATTACAATGGCTAGAGGAGGTGTGAACAATGGAGGGAGCTGGGCAATCTTTGGACAAATCTGGCTGTAATGAAGGGGAGGGAGAGGATGAGAGGATTTTTACGAAGGCAGAGGCCTGAGCAAACCTGACTGCCAAAGGGAAGGATAGCTACCTTTGGATCGTGTCCGTGTCCTGAGTGGGAGGCAGAAGATAACGGAGGGGAGGGCATGGTAGTGAGCAAAGGTGGAAACTTCCCTAGAGTGAGGACGGGCGGCTGCAGTCCTGAGAATGAAGGGCCGTGGGCCTGTGACGGGAGAGGGACTGTCCTGGTAAGACTGCAGAGGAGAGGTCCCCAGAGAGGTGCACTGGTGAATGTCTAACTCAGACAGCTCAGGGAGGGGTGGGAGCTCTGACCTATAGTGCTGGTGTCTGTGGGGTACCTTCTGCCACGACCAATCTCACGTTACCAACCTGACTTCACTGAATGCAGGGGCCGGAGGGATTTCTGACAATTGGCTCTCACTAGCCAGTCCAAGCTGCCTCTGGCTCAGAAACCTACAAAGATTCCTGAGGCCATGGGACCACAAGAGGGGCCAGGCAGGCGACATAATGGAGAATTGGACCAAGTGTGACAAGCGAGAGTGAAGGAGCAGGGTCGGCTGACGGGGCCCTGCGGGAATGTAGGGGCTCAGGTAGCAGGGTGCCCCAAGTCTTTCCGCCCGGTGGCATGCACCCTCCTGCTCCCATTCCTTTGTTGCTTCCCCCCTCTTTACTTGGCTTATGGTTTTTTGTTTCCCCCCTCTGTCTTTTGTCTCATCCTTCCCATCTGCCTTGCTGGCCACTGGCATATCATAGGTGAGCAAGACAGAGTCCTTCCCCAAGGAGATCACAGACCTGGGGGAGTCCACTCAGAACTCAGCTTGGTGCCCAGAACTCTGGCAAGTGTCGCCCACTGCCAACATTGAGCCCGTGAGGCAGAGGAAGGAGGCGCAGGGCAGCTCCTCAGACACCAGGAGGACAGTCAGGGACAGAGGGAGGGTGAGCCTGGCAAAGGAAGGACCCTGTCTGAGCAAAGGTGGTGAGGTGACGGCCTGTTGAGCTGCTTAAGTGTGGCCGGGGCTAAGGTGACAAGGGGTGCAGTTTGGCAGCAGGTGAGGCTGAAGGGAAAGCAGGGCCCAGGCACCACCTGGCTTTGCAGGCCCTGTGAACAGTTTAACTTTATGCAGAGATGGCCAAGAGCAATTGAAGAGTTTAGGACAGAGGAGCGATGGTCAGATCTGCGTTTTAGAAAGATAATTCTGCTGCAGTCTGGCTAGAGAGGGTGGTAGTGTCCCAGGTGGAGACAGGGAGATGGTGGGGAGGCTGACAGGCCAGGCAGCAGGTGACTGACTGACAGTGGCTTGGGCTGGGGAAGCCAGCAGGACGCGGAGAGAAGACAACCCACTTGACATTGTGCTCAGCTGAGCTCTGCCAGGCCCTGCTCTAAGCACAATAGGTGTATTACCTCATGTAACCCTCCGAACAACTCTTGGAGATACTGCCTCCGTTCCACAGATAAGGGAAGTGAGGCTCGGAGACATGAGAGCATCAGGCACGAGAGTGGCAGGAGCAGCTGGGGGAGCTGCTGTGGCTTCTGAGAGGGCGAGGCAGAGGAAGGGGCCCAGCGGGATTCCAGTCTCCGGCTCCGTGAAGTGGTTGAGAAGAGGAGTTTGGTTTGGACATGTTCTCTGGAGGCCTTTGTGACATCCAAACAGAGATGTCCCCTGCAGATTAGACATTCATTCAGGCCTGCAGCTCCAGGAGAAGCCAGGCTGAAAGGAGAGATTGGGGATCATGGGCCCAGCGATGGTGTTTGAAGCCACGGCCATGGGCCAGATCGGGCAGGTAGCACGTGGAGAGTGAGGGGGGACGTGAACCGTGACCCGTGACCAGTAGGGGGCCCCAGTGTGAGGGGCCAGGGAGGGAGCGCAGTGGCAAAGGAGCGGCTCCTGGGGCAGCCTGGCCCGGGCTCCTCAGAGCAGGGGAAGAAGGGAGGGGTGTCCACAGCATTTCACTTTGTAGAGACCAGATTGAGACTCGTCCACTAGGCATGGGGAGCAGGCTTTGTCAGGCTTTGCTGGGGCAGTTTTGGTGGAGGGTGGGCGCACTTGGGAGGGGCAGGAGCTGGAAGGACTTGGTGGGAGGCAGGGCCGGAGGGGAACCCACCTTTCCACAGCTTGGCTGTAAAACTGAGGCAGAAGGCTGGGTGGAGGTGGCTGAGGGCTTAGCGTGGAGGAATGAAGAAGTCCTTCTTTCCGCATATCCTAAAATTTTCCATTTACAGCCTTGGTTTTAATTAATTTGTGGAGCTTCAAAACCTCAATCCTACTGGGGACTTAAAAGTACAGTACAACTTCAGCTATCCAGAATTCTTGGCAAACAAGCCACTCTGGAAAATCTAAATGTATTTGGATGCAACATTTGAAAGATAGTATTTCTTACTTATTATGGAAACTATCAAACACATAAAAGTAGAGAGAAGAATGTAACGAACTCCTAGGCCCCACCACGCAACTTTAACAGTTATCAACTCAAGGCCAACCCTGTGTCATCCACACCCTGCACAGCTTCGGAGCTGGGATGTTCCCCTGGGATAGCTGGAGGCAAACCCTAGGTGTTATATCAATTCATTCATGACGCTTTAGGATCTTTCTCCAGAAGACAAAAGACTTTTTTTTTAAAGTTACCACGGTACCATATCACTCCTAAAAATTTTAACAATAATACCTTAATTTTATCAGATATCAATTGCTCAAATTTCCCCAATTGTTTTATTCTTCCCCGTAGGTAATTGTTAAAATTAGTCTCCAAACAAGGTCCAGGCGTTGTATTTATTTGCTCTGTTTCTTAAGCCTCCCTTTCTTTTTTCATATAATTTGTGTTGAGGAAACCAGATTGCTTGGAGGCAGTAAGTGTTTGGGAATTTGGGAGAGAGCTGAGCGTCACGCCAGAGACAGTGGGACAGAGACAGATGGGGTGGGTGGGTGATGGCCAGACAGTGCAGACAGTGGGGACATCCATCTACGGGAAGGAGGCAGGATGTGGGGTCCCGTCCAGAGCAGGGAGGAAGGTCAGAACTGATGAGGGTGGCCTGTCCCTGAGATCCCTGAGGCCCCTCAGCCACTGGAGCAGAGGGAAGGTGGAAAGACAGCCTGAGCCAAGGAGCAGGGGCAGAGCTCAGGCTGGAAATGAGAGGAGGGGCGGGACCGAGGAGGTCAGGTCTGAAAGGAACAGGATATCTGTGCTGGGGAGGGAGGGCTAGAGGAGTGCCAAAATCTAGCTCCCGGCCCATCCCAGCTCCTCCCACCTGGCCCAGTCCCAGGAGCCCCTCCCTAGCTTCCCAGCTACAAATCCACCCTGGGGCCCGGATACCTGATCCCTTCACAATGCTGGTGGTCCTTGGCCTGGATCCCCTGCTCTGCCTTCTCCTCTTGCTCCTGAACCTCCGCAGCCCTGAGGGGGGCCATCCTCCTCCTCCTTGGCGAAGGTTTGAGTACAAGCTCAGCTTCAAAGGACCAAGACTGGCATTGCCTGGGGCTGGAATACCCTTCTGGAGCCATCATGGAGGTGAGGGGTGGAATGGGGACCAGGGTTCCTCAGAGTGCTGCCGGAGCTGACCAGCTCTGGGACCCTGTGACTTGCTGGGGAGTGGGCCTGCCAGTACCAGCCTCTGCCCAAGACTGGGCCCCAGCACCCCTCCCAGACCTATCTCCTGCTCCACCACCGCAATCCCATCCCCACCAGCCTCAGTTTCTCCTCTCTGCCTCTCCCCTTCGCTGCCATGGGACTTCTCTCATCTCCTCCTTTCACTTCTCCTTAGAGGACCCCCACCCTGCCTCTCGGACCCGTGAACACAAACACATATGCTCACATGCTGAGTCCCAGACACACAGGCACAAGGTAACTTGGACCAGCACAAATCTCCACTCTTTCTCCATGCTGTCAGGTCTGTGGCCATCCATGAGAACTAGGGGGACTGCCTGGAGGAAGGCATCCTCATGGCCAGCCAGAGAGGGCATCAGTCCTGCCCTGTGTGTATGCTGAGTGGAAGCAAGCTTGAGAGCATCTTAGCCAGTAGGTTGTGTTCAGGGCCTTCCAAACTCAGACCTACAGAGTCCATCTTCTACTTGGTCTTGTTCTAAAAAGATTTTCAAAGATGTATAAGGACTTAAACAATAGAGAGGCACTTAAATTAGGAGTGAGCAAGAAGAATAAGACTTAGGGTTAGGACTGAGGCATGAAATGAGTCCAGGAACAGGGCTTGTGCCAAGACATATGCTGTGAAGTCTGCCCACCATTCAGAGTTGGGCTATGGATCTGGTTCAGAGCCTCCTAGCAGGCAAAGTAAAGAGAGAAAACAGATCCATTGTGTATTTCTGTGTCTGTGAGTTTTAAGTTCTGAAAAATGGCATGATTCCTAACTAAGGCCAGAACAAATATCCCTTCAAGGAGACAGGATTTTCCGGTAGGGTCCTAGGTCCAGTCCTGCCTCAGAGAAGCACAAAGGTAAATGAAGGAGGGGGCTGTTCCTCAGAACAACAAGCCAAGCCTTGCCTCAGAGCCAGGACGGCAGGGCCTGCACCACACTCACTGCTCAGAGTCCTGCCAAGTCTGGGTGTCACAGACCATATCGGGGAGCAGAGGCATATTCTCCAAGATCACCCAGTCATATGCTCATCATCTATTCAATCATCCTTTTCTCAGACTCACCCCCATGCCCTCTGCCCAGCGAAGAGACACAGGGCTGAGTCAGGCTCAAGGAGCCCACAGTCTGGGGTGAGTTCCCATGAGCAATCCCCATTAGGCAGAAGACACAAGTGTAGTAGGCAGCGGGCAAGCCTTGCCTCCTGCAAGTCGCTTCAGAGGCAGTGGTGGCTCTCCCAAGGGCCCCAGCACTCCTGGCCTTGCCACCGCTGAGCCTCCCTGCCCCCAGCACTGGCCTTTGCTGAGCAAACAGGCTGGATTAGCAGTCTCCGGAACCTCCTGGCAGGGACTGGGCTCTGGGCCAGGTTCCAGGCTGGCAGGACGGAGGGGAGGGCGGTCAGCTGGGATGGGGCCTCTGATCTCTCTTCCTCCTTTTCTTGCCACCCCTGCCTCAGTTTCTCTCCCTTCTACCGTCCCCTCCACCCCCACCTGCACCAAGGGCAATTCTCACACACACTCCATCCCTCACCCTCTCCTCAGTCCTGCGGGCCAGTGCCCACCTTTGCTTTCATGCTTTCCTCACCTTGGGATGCCCCCTTGGTGCCCCACCACGAAGGCCCAGCCTCGTCTGGCCGCACCCGGGCGTCTCTCTGTGCTTCCACAGCGTGGGGTCCTCACCCTCCGCGTGGTTATTCTCTCCATCTGCTCCCCTGTGTCCTGTGGTCTCAGGCACGTCCTTTTCTCATCTGGGAAACAGAAAGGGTTGGACACAAATCTCTCATGGTGGAACAATCTTATACTTTGGAGACAGTTGGAGCTGAGTTCCAATTCATTTAGTTCCTTAACTTTTCTGAGCCTCGGCTTTCTCATCTGTAAAATGTGTCATAAAAGCAGACCACACAGACTTGTGGTGAGGTTCACATGAGAGTGCAGGCAAAGTCCACTGTGTGGGTCTGGCCTTCGCTGTCCTCCCCTGGCAAAGGCCCGACCAGCCATTCTGGGCTCCGGTTCCCACTTCTTCGGCCAGCCTGCTATTTAATGGCTGTGATGACACCTCCTTTCTCCTCTCAGAGCCCAGCCCAGGCTAGTGAGAGAGAATGATGAGGGAGCAGGGGCTGGTGGGACCCAGGCCTTGAGCTGCCCAGGTCCACAGATGCCATCCCGGGCCTGGAGGAGGTGCGGCTGGCCCCATCCATGCGGAACCGGAGTGGCGCCGTGTGGAGCAGGACCCCTGTCCTCTTCTCTGCCTGGGAGGTGGATATGCAGATGAGGGTGACCGGGCCAGGGCGCCGGGGAGCCCAGGGCATGGTGAGTGACTCCCACCAAGGTCCAGCAGAGGGGGTGAGTCAGGGAGGCTAGGGGAGGAGACTGGGGTTCCCGTGCCTGCAGGAGCGCCTGAGCTGAGCAGCTGGGGACCCGCAGGCTGTGTGGTATACCCAGGGCAGGGGCCAAGTAGGCTCTGTCCTGGGGGCGCTGGCCTCGGGGGACGGCATCGGGATCCTCTTCGACTCCTTGGCCGAGGATGTCCAGGTGAGTCCTGGTCCCCTGTCCACCCTCCTGCCCACACCCTCACCCTTCTCCCTGTGCCCATGGCTCAGGCTGCTTGTCACCTTCCACAGAATAGCCCCGCCATCCGTGTGCTGGCCGGTGATGGGCACACCCTCTATGAGCCACTTGGGTAAGATCCCGTCTAAGCTGGCCCCTACCCCACTCCTGGGCCACGAGGGGCTCAGCAGTTACCCACACTGCCCACGCTGCCCCTGCCCCAGTCTCTGGTGGGGAGCCCACCCCTCCAAGGGCAGGGTACTCCCCACTGGCCTGTCATCTGAGCTGATGGCGCTGCCCTGGGACTCCCTCCCACTAGGTCCCAGCTGTTCCTCCTCTGGGGCCTGGGACCAGCTGCTTGCTCTCCCTGGGAACCACCCCACTGAGCCCTCAATCCATTCAACCCAACAGCCCCAGGCCAGTGGGGCGGAGAGGTGAAATGACGTGGGGTGGGGCCTCTTATCATCTCATCCTGACATTCTTGACAAGTGGAGACTGTTAGTCCCCAATTACAGGTGAGCACATTGAGGCCCAGAGAGGTAAAGAGACTTGCCTGAGGTCACACAGTTGTGCCCAGAGCTGAGATTTAGGGCCAGATGTGCCTGTGGAGGGTCCACGCCCTTCCCTGGGCCAGCTGCCTGCCTGTTGCCAGGCCGTCCTTTTCTCTCAGATGATGTGGCTTCCCCTCCCTCCCCTGCCAGGCTGCCTCCTCAGTAGCTGGGCCAGCTCGTCAGTGTCTTTCAGCAAACATCCTTTAACTCATAACAATCAGAATAATTGCTCACATTTATGACCTGAGCTCACTGTACGCCAGGCACAGAGCCAAGCACTTCACATTCATTGCTTGGTTAACCCTCATAACAACGTTATGAGATAGTTTCAATTATTATCCTCATTTTAAAGATGGGGAAGCTTGGCTTTAGAAAGGTGAGGTAACTTGCCCAAGGTCACACAGCTCAGAGTGCCACCACAGGCAGCCGCTCTGGAGCTGGCTTCTCCCCTGCTCTGCACTGCCTCCCTCTTGGCCAGAGGTGGTGGTGCCGGGAGCACTGGTGTGAGCAGCTTCTGTGTGGCCATAAGCCCAGAGAAACTCAGGACCTCTGGGGCTCAACACTCCTACCTCCCAGAGCCAGCTGCACCGTCCCTGCACTGGTCATATTGTCCTTGGCTGCTAGGATGGTTCTGGTGTTGTCTGTCCTGAGTCTGTCCTGCTGCAGGCTAAGCTTGGCAGAAGGGAGAGGAAAGAAGAGCTGGACCCAGAGGCACAACGGGACTTGGAGTTTACAGGGAGGAGAAGGAAGCCGGTGGGAGACAGTGGGAGGAGATGGTGGGCCTGGGGGGCTGTGGGTGGAAACCTCACTGTTCGTCCAGGCTCTGACCCCTCCTCTGGAAGAGTCCCAGGGAGGCCCTTGACCTCTTGGGTGAATTCCAAGTCCCAGCATTCTGCAGGCAAGGCTGGCTTTCCTGCTCCTCTCTCTTCTGCTACAGGAGCAGACGACACAAGGGGGGATCAAGCAAGACAGCAGGGACATGTCCTGCATCAGTGGGGGCGGGTGGCACTGCAGGCCTGAGCCAAACGGCCTCAGGGACTGCCCACACTGGCTAGGCCTCTGGTCCTGTGAGGCCTGGCTGGATTCCAAGTATCCACAGGGATGGAGGCAGCCGGGTGCTGGGTTCCTGCCACCGGGACTTCCGGAACCGGCCATACCCCTTCAGAGCACGAATCACCTACTGGGGGCAGAGGCTGCGTGTGAGTCACCCCTCCTGCTTTCGCGAGTCCACTGAGTGGGGAGTACAGATTACAGGGCTTGGAGCTCTGTGAATGGCCATGACCCTACAGACATACCTGCGACACCACACAGGATCCCTGGTACATGTGGGCAACACCCACAGGAGTCCTCCTCCCCACACAGACTCCTACCTGGCCCCAAGCACATGCTTAGGAGGCTAGCAGGAGACCAGGTGTGGAAGCCCCTCCACACCACTCTGACACCAAGCCCTGCCTACCTTCCCTCTGGGCCAGAGGAGCCAGTGAGTGGGGACAATCCCCCTACTGGGGTCAGGGGAGAGGAGTGGTCTCCTGCTCAGGGGAGAGCGAGGGGCTCACACCCTCTGTGCCCCTCAGGTGTCTTTGAACAGCGGCCTCACTCCCAGCGACCCGGATGAGGTCTGTGTTGACGTGGGGCCCCTGCTTTTGGCCCCTGGAGGTTTCTTTGGGGTCTCGGCAGCCACTAGCACCCTGGCAGGTGAGGGCCTTCTGGGCAGGTAGGAGCAGAGGAGGGGTACATACTGAACACCCCTTCTAAGGAGCACTGGGTGTGGGGTCCTCACCGTGTGACCTGGGTGAAGCATGAGCCCTCCCTGGGCCTCCCTTACCACTGGGGGAAGGTCAAGTCTGCCTTGCAGAGTTGATGACAGTCTCAAATAGGATAAAACACGAGAAGCTTCTATTCCAGTGTTGGCCCCACAAGGGCCCCTGGCTGGGAGCTGTGGGTGAGAGGAAGGGAGACAGCCATAAGGGACATTTGGGGAAGTGGAGCAAAGGGGTGTGATGTGATGGAGAGCCCATGGAGCCCCAGCTGGAAAGCAGGGTCACCAGAGCAGGGAGCCCTGGGATGCCGGGGCTTTGGTCTTCAGCCCGGGCACCAGGGAGCCATGGAAGGTTTCTGAGGAGGCTGATGGTCAGAGCCATGCTGAGGAGGTGGCCTCTGTGCGGCTGCTCCTGCTGGTAGCAGCCAGCTCTGGCCCTGAGCGAGTCTCGGGCTGTAGCCATGCTCTGGCTCAAGGCTGTCCAGTTTTCCCCCTCACTGGGGGCCCCACTTCTGGCTCTGTGTGGGGGTCAACCTTCACAGCCCCCACATCTGCTTGTCTGATCCTCACACCTTTCCTAGGAAGTGAGCAAGACAAGGGTCAGAGCTGCCCAAATTCACCCAGACCTCTTGCCTGCCTGGAACATAACTGAGGCTGGGGGGCAAAGGCTGAGTGAGTGGGCTGCTGAGTAGGGTTCACCTTCTACCCCTCTTTCCAGATGACCATGATGTCCTGTCCTTCCTGACCTTCAGTCTGAGTGAGCCGGGACCAGAGGTGATGCTAGCCCCTGGCCTGCCCTGGGGGAAGGGCTAGAGGAGAGGCAGCCCAGGGGCCCCCTCCCCTCCCCAGATGCTCTGCTCCTGTCCTGCTGCCAGACCTGTCATTCCAGCCATTATCTCAACCTGTGCCTGGAACTCTGCTCAGGCCAAGCCTTGTGCTAGGCAGTGCTGGGGGCCGGAGGTGACCCAGAGCCGGGCCCTGTTCTCAAGGACCTCCCAGCCTGGCTAGGAGCTGTGGGAATACAGAGGAGTTCTAACCAGCCAGGGGAACAGGGAATTGCATGGAAAAGACGAGCTTGAAGAAGCAGAGGGAGCAGCATGAACAAAGGCCTGAGGCCTGAGAGAGCTGCTAGGATCTGGGCAGCAGCAGGAGGGAAGGGTGTGAGGATCAGCTGTGCAGCAGGGCTGGGAGGACTGGAAAGTTCTGGACCTGGTGGCTGAGCAGAGGGAGAGCCAGCCATGGGGTGGGGGGAGTGTTTTCCCCTGCTGCGGTGAGAGGTCAGGGAGGGGGGCTGGGCTTGTGGGGACCGTGGGAAGACTCCTCTTGCCCCCAGATCTCCCATGGGTTTGAAGCCCGAGTTTTCATCTTCCTCCAGCCTCCCCTGCATCCCTTCCTGGAGACGGAGCATCTCCGCCTGGCAAGGCAGCTGAAAGGACTGCAGGCAAGGCTGGCCTTGGGCACCAAGGAGGACATGAATCCAAAGCTGAACTCTGAAGTCCAGGAAGAGGGTAGGGACCCAGAGAGCAAGCAGGTGGGGCAGGGGCCCGCTTGAGTGTCACGGGATCCTCTTCCCAGCGAATCACAAGTCCTTTAACCAGTGGGGAGATAGAGGCCGGAGGAGGTCATACCTAAGCACGCTCTGGGACCCAGGTGCTGTTTCCAGTCCCTGCCCCACCACCCAGACACATCTTTCCAGGGCAGAGTCTTGGAGGCAGAAATCACACCTTTCTGGCCCTCCAAGAAGCCTTTAAAAGGTAGGATCTGCTGCCCCACTGCAGCTGGCTGCCTGCCCTGGCTCCGCCCCAATCCCCAGGGGAAAGGATCTTTGACCTGGAGGAGACACTGGACAGACACAGACAGATCCTGCAGGCTCTCCAGGGTCTCTCCAAGCAACTGGCCCAGGCTAAGAAGCAATGGAAGAAGCAACTGGGGTCCCCAGGCCAGGCCAGGCTTGAGGGAGCCTGGGTGAGTGGCCCCTCAGGCATCCAAGAGTCTGCCCGCAGGCCTGGAGCTCCCTAGGCACCGGGTCTGATGGCACCAGTGGGCTCCCTCCATCCAGAAAAAGGAGCAAGCACTATACTTGGGAACTAGTATGCCCCCCTCCCCCCAGGGACTGGGGGGAAAAGAGGGTGGAGTGAAGTGCTGTAGGTCACGGGATGGCACGGCCCTGCCAAGCAGGGGAGTGTGTACGAGGGCGTTCTACACAAGCAAAGGCCCACAGAGCCCCGCGGCTGGGGCTGGGGAAGGAGTTGCCAGGTATTTGATGCGGGTCTCTAGACAAGTGACAGAAATAGACTGGGTGCTTATTTGCATGTAGCTCCACATGTGATTTGATTCACATACGCTTGCTTAATGCTCAGATGCACCAGAATCCTCATTTCTCCTCCACTATTGTCCTGGCTTCTCCCTCAGGGACTCACGTCCCATGGAGTACCAAGCCTGGAAACTGAGAGCTGAGATCAATCAAGATGTTAGGTGGCCAATGGCTCCTGGGGGCTCTCCTGGGCTCTGGCAGCTCGAGGTTTGAATCATGTCCTCAGGCCAGAGCGGCTGAGGCTGGGCTGCTGGAGTGGGGATGGGGGCGGGGAGACCACACTCCAAAGCTAGGCCTCTCTGATTCTACTGCCAGGCCCAGGACTCCCTTGCCAGATTCTACCCACTGCAGAGAGAGGTGGCAACCTCTCCAGGTCATTCAGCAAGACAGGGGCCCAAGCACTGGTAGCTGCCTATGCCCTGGGGGAATGGAGGAGGAGAAGACCCAACTAGGCCACAGGGGCAGAGCCACTTCTGGAAAGGGGAGGGAATTTGAGAAAGCCCCAAATTGGCCACCACCATAAGGGAGAGGGGTTTGAGAGGAGGGGAAAATCAGAAGCTCAGATGGAGAGGGTCAGATAAATCTACATATCCAAAATGAGAAGGGCCCAGGTACGGCCTCTGGAAGGAAGAGGGCTGCAAATTCCTGAGGAAGGTAGACATTGAGAAGACAGGGGCTGTGACCTGGGCCCTAGAGAAGAGGCTGGCACTCCTGCAGGACTCAGCCAAGGTCAGTGCCCTACTCCATGGACAGCGGACTCTGCTCCAGGACCTGCAAGAGATGAGGTAAGGGTAGAGGGCGAGGACAGTCCTGGGGGAGGAGAAGTCTCCGACCACCAATTTGCTTCTTGCCTAAAGTCCCCCCAGTAGTCCTATATTCCTTTCACCATCTCCTGAGCCCCCAGCACAAAGCCTGGAGCATGGGAAGGGGCTAGGTGCAAAGTTAGGTTTGTTAAGTTGACCTGGATTTAACTGAGTCAAGTTTAATTCAGTTAAACTAGTTTAAACACAGCTCCCCTGGACATTTTCACTCCAAGAAGGGGTGGTAAATCTGAGCCTTCCTTCAGTGACAGCTCCTGGAAGCAGGGGACATTTTAATGGAGTTCTTGTGGGGAGCACAAACAAGATCAGGCCCAGCTGGTGGGGGCAGGGCACTCCCTGACTTCACTTTACCCTCTCTGGCCTTCCAGCATCCACACTCATGGCCAGGCCTCTGGAGTTACCCATGGAGCCCTGGGGGCAGGGGGTCACCTTGTTGCCATGAGAGCATGAGAGGAGGGTGGCTTCAGGCTGGAAGCTGTGGTTGCAGCCCAACCACTGCCTCCCTCCCCCACAACTAGATGCCTGGGGGTGGGAAGATGGGAAGAGGGAGAGGAGCTAAATCCCTGGGGGCTAGGGACCAAAGGCAGAGCCTAGGGAGCCTGCGGCTGAGATAGACAGCTTCAGGAGGATGCTTCTCTGAGCATCTCTGAGCTAACGCTGTCTCAGGGTCCAGGGTCAAGATTTGGGCTAAGGAGACCAGCCCAAAAAGGGGCCCTATTCCCCTGTTCCCCACCCAGGCACTGCCTTTGGGGATTATGAGAAACAGTTGGGTAGTTTGGGTGCAGAAGCAATAATGCGTCCTCTTCCTTGGTTTCCCCCCTGCGCCAGGCATGCAGCTGCTCACATGGCCTCAAGAGCCCAAGTCTTCTACCTGCCTGTGGGCACCAAGCATCACTTCTTAGAGCTGGCCCAGACCCTGAGCCTTCTGCAGAAGGACCTTCGGGCCCCAGCTGTGAGGGGGAAGGAAGGGGTACCATGGGGCCCTGTCCCCTTCTTCCAGAACTTCTGCAGCCCTAGGCCCCTCCTACCTTTGCCCTCCCCTCCCAGGACCCCTGGCAAGCACACCTGTGTCTGAGTCTGTGTGCTTATACACGTGCATGCAGGGCCCTGGAGCCCACAATGACCAGAAGATAAATGGGAGTGAGCTGTGCCCAACATCATTCAGAGCTTAGTGGCAAAGCTTGCTCTTCCCCGTGTCCCTGCCCCATCTTGCTCCTTCCCTTGCTCTCCATCACCCTGTCTTTTGCTCTCTACCTTTCTCTCTTATCTCTGGAGCCTTTGGCCTGCTGATGATCCCAGGCCCCAGACCCTCCCAGCTGTTCCCACAGATGGAGCCATGGGAACTGGGGTGGGAAGGTGGCTTTGTACTACCCCCCCTTCTCTAAGTTCCCTGGATGAGAGCTAGGGTACCCCAAGCCTGGGAGAGGGAAACAGAGCCCACAATGGCCCAGATTCCAGGTCCCCTCCCTCCTTCTGGGTAAGAAGCTGATTCAGGATCTTAGAACATCCCTTTTCAGAAACCAGCAGCCAAGGATACCTACCTACATGGCCGGCTCCCAAGGGTTTTCTCGTGCCTGCAGCCTGGCTTCTTCCTGTTCGTCCTCCTCACCCAGACTGTAGGCTTCTTCTGCTATGTACACTTCAGGTGGGCCTTCCCTTGGGCAGGACCTCCCATACCTACATGGAGTCTCTTGGGACTGGGCCACAGCCATTCAATTTGAGAGAGGAAGCACCGAGGCCCAGGGTGGGGGTGGGGGTGGGGCCTGCCTGGTCTACCAGCTGGCAAGACAAAGTGCCCAAGTTAGGGTTCATTTTTTCAATAGAGGCAAATGACTACCTGCTCAGCCACTGGTCCCATCTGGGTCTTATCCTCACAGAACTCACTCTCTAATGTGAGAAACTGACAAGTAACTGAGTCACATCTTTGTGGTCAGTGCCATGATGGCAGGAAACACAGGAGCTATGAGTGCAGGAAAAAGCACCTGATCCAGCTTGGGGAGATCAGGGCATCACCTGGACTGGACATTTGATAGGTGTCATCAGTGCAACTAGGAGTTTTCTAGCCTGACCAGATAAGGAAAGGCATCAATACAGAAGGAACAGCATAAGAAAAGGCATGGAAGCATGGGGAAAAAAATATTTTGAAGAAAAAGTGGCAAGTTTAGTACTATTAGAGCAAAGGGTGGGACCAGTTTATGAAGCTGGGCAAAGAGAATTTAAAAGGTTGGGGGGGAGTCACTGTTTTTGCTTGATGAATGTTTGTAAATAAATAAAACATTTAGATACGTAAGGTGTGCTAAAGGGCTCAGAAATCGGACAGTCCTTGTTGTGGGTATTTCCAGTCAAAAAGAATCAGTGTGGGCTGGGATGGTCCTGGGGTAGGAGTAAAGTGTGCTGAGCTTTAAAAGCAGAGTGGGAATGGGGCCAGCCTCCAGGTGAGGAGAACAGCAAAGGTACGAGGTGGAAATGATGCCAGGCTTATGTGTTACGTAGGAGCGCTGTGGTGGCCATAAGGCTAGAGCCACCTGGACAGACCTTGAATGCCAGGAGGAAAGTGTGATCCTGATGGAGCAGGCCAAGGGAGCCATAGAAGTTCCCTGAGCAGAGGAGACTGTGGTGCAGTGAGTGTAGGAAGCCTGGTCTCAAGAGCCCAGAAGGGAGAAACCCAAGTAAACTTCTTGTCTCCCTAGCAGCAAGCAGGAGCTGGACAAGAACCTTCTGGACTATCTGTCCACAGGAAGCTTTCCTCTGAGTCCTGCACCACAAATCCCTAAGGCCCTGGGGGTTCTGAGGAGGCAGCCCCCCTCCCCCAGCATACATGCGTAACCTACCTCAAAGCCCTGAAGGATTGTCCACTTCACATCACTTGGAAGTTGATGATGTCTTGGGGGTGGAGGGCTTGACCAGTGTCCTCTCCCTCTTGGTACCCAACTCCTACCTACACTTTAGCTTTTGGAGAGCTCCAATCTTATTAAAGGTGATTTCCCCCGCCTCATGCTTTGATACATTCATTTACCTTCCGGCTTCTCCTTAATCTCTCTCATGGCTTCAACCTCTTCTTTATGGTAGTTGGGAGTGGGATCCAAGCAGGCAAGAAGGCCAAGGGCTGGCCTGACTGCCAAAGACCTGAGCTATGGTGGGTGAAGGAGACACACCTGTGTATAATTCTGACCCCAGATTCACCCAGAACAAGGAGTGGTGTCTCCAGGCCCCCTTCCTGGTCCAGCCCAGGCAGCTTCACCATGAATAACTCTCTCTCTCCTTGCTCCCTGTAGCTCCAGGGCTCAGCAGGGCAGAGGCGTCACAGAGAACTCTTTGAGAAGCAACTCACAGAACCATAATTGGGATTCCCTGCTCTCTGGTCTCCCTCCCTTTCCCAGCGTCAAGCTCTTTGGGCAGCTGCTGGGGCAGCGGGTTGAGAAGGTTGGGGTAGGGCCCATGGCTACTGGCATCTCACAGCCAAATCCTGGCTATCAGCGACCTGGGGGAGGAAGAAGTGGGGGGAGAGCAGGGAGCAGGGTTCTGGACGCATAGCAGCACAGCTCATTCCCCTGGGGAGCGACCACCCCGACTCCCCCGCCCCCTCCGCAGGCCCCAATCCGTTGTCGGCAGTGCCCTGCAAAGCTCGGCATTGAAGGAGGCACGTGGGGGAGGCGGGAGTGAGGAGCCGCACGTGGTGCCGCCTCCTGAGCCCCGTGCATACCCCCAGCCCCCGCCCCCTGTGAGGAGGGGTTTGGGGAGGTGGAGGCGGGCTTCGGGCAGGGGCGGGCAGTGGGCGGTGCAGAGTGTGGGGCGCCTGCCTGTGGCGGGAGCTGTCCGTGAGACCTAGTGCTGAAGTAGGCGCGGACGTGCCTGGGTGCCTGGGTGCCCGGCGCATGGTACCCGGCGCCCAGTACTGGGCCAGCGAAGACCATGGCATTCATGGTGAAGACCATGGTGGGCGGCCAGCTGAAGAACCTCACTGGGAGCCTAGGGGGCGGCGAGGACAAAGGGGACGGGGACAAGTCGGCCGCCGAAGCGCAGGGCATGAGCCGAGAGGAGTATGAGGAGTATCAGAAGCAACTGGTGGAAGAGAAGTGAGTGGGATCCCTTTCCGGCTCCAACGACCCTCCCCACCCCTCAAAAGATGCCTGGCCCACCTCTAGGACAGTCTCAGACCCTGAACCCCTCCTCTAGTTTTCTAGACATGGGGATGTGCCCTCTAGGCTGCCTCCAGGGCCACTCTGTCTCAAACCCAGGACCCTGCACCAGTTTCTCATTCGGGCGGAGAGGGAGTGGGGGCAGGGATGACAGGGGCCTGGGACGGGGTGGGGGCACGTGCATTTCTGACGAAATAAATAATCCCTTAATCCGATCTGGTCCCAGCCGTCTGTCTTCCAACTGGAGCTTCTCTGAGCCTGAGGCTCTGAGAAAAGCAGTGCAGCTGAGAGAGGCTCAGAGTCATGGAGACAGATCCTGAAATGGGGGTACTCACAGATATTGAGGCTACTTGTGTGCAGATAATGCTGGGACAGAGGCAGCTGGAGTGGAGTAGAGGCTGAACTCCAGAGTTAGGCTGCTTGGGTCAGATCATGGCTTTGCTTATTTTTAGCTGGGTGACCAAATTACTTAACTTTTCTGTGCCTCAGTTTCTTCTTCTGTAAAATAGGGATGCAATCATAAAACATGCCTTATATATTTATGAGTTAAATTACCTAATGCAGATAAACCACTTAGCAGAGCGCCTGCCACATGGTAAATCATTAAATGTTAGCTATTATTATTTCACTTAATTGTGGTAACAATTTGGTGAGTTGCAAAATCTTATCTCCATTTTATAAAAGAGGAAGGTAAGTGACTCACTCAAAGACATACTGAAAAAGCAGTAGTGGAGCCGGGACTTGAAACCAAGTCTGTCCTGAATACTTTCCCCTACAAGACACAACCTGTCAGGGAGGGAAATCACAGACCAGTTGGTGGCTGTGAGGGACATATATTAGGGTCCACAGAGAGAGGCAGACTGATTCCCCCCACCCTGATAGCTCTGTCCATTTACAAGTGTAGAGATGATAAAGGGCTCTGTGTTGGGGGGAGAGGCAGCAAAAATTATTGTCAGCTGATCAGAGCTCCAAGCCCCAGACATACAGACCTGAGGGTGGGAGCGAAGCAAACTGTGGCCAGGATGCAGAGACCCTTCCTGCCCCTTCCTCGTAGACCCCACCCGTTCTCTCAGACCTGGCAGTAATTCCACCCCTGGTGTCCCTGCAGAATGGAGCGGGATGCGCAGTTCACACAGAGGAAGGCTGAGCGGGCCACGCTGCGGAGTCACTTCCGAGACAAATACCGGCTGCCCAAGGTAAGCTTAGGAGCTGGGGCTGCAAGGCACATATGGGACCTAAGCTCTCGGCTCCAGACTTCAAGGAGTGTTTGATTAAATCCTTGGTTCTCTCACTTGTTCATTCATTCACGGTTAACTGGCGCACACCAAGGGCCAAGGCTTAGTGCTGAGGGGTAGTCCATCCTCCAGAGACCAGTAAGTTTGTGTTTCTGGAGCCAGTCCAGGCCCCTTCTCTCATTTAACCCCCATTTGCCTAACCCAGAGTCAGGCCTGGGCAGATGAAAAGTTGGAAGGCAGCAGATTTTACCGCAGGGGTAAAATCTCTTGGGGCTTCTGAGCACCTAGGGAGTGGGGGTGCAGAGACAAGGCAGCACCCTCTGTGTGCCAGGCACTTGACCTTTAACATCCTTGCCTAACCCCTCAGTAACACTGCCAGGCAGCTATTACCCACATCTACAAATAAGGAAACTGAGGCTCAGAGAGATTAAGGGACTTGGCTAAGACAATATAGCCAGCAAATGATGAAACTGGGATCAGAGCTCAAGCTGTGCTTGCTGAGCCTGCATTTGCTCCAGGATCCCTGACCGCCTTCCAGGGTATGGAGTCTGTCTGCAGAGAACAGAGTACCCCCTTAGTTGGCCAAGCAGTCAGAAGGATGTCTTCCCTAGGCGCTGCAGCACCAGATGGGCATGTTTACTTTGTTGCCTAAAGAGGGAACTGAGGCACAAGTTCCTCGCAGTGCTCAGAATTGTGCCAGATTCTGGGAAGAAACAGAAGTACAGGCTACAGTACACCTGACTTTGATCTTTCACTTGAACTGGAAGATCAGATATGGGAACATCACATTCACTCATTCAACAAATATTTACTGAGGCCCTGGCTGCCTCTGACTCCCCACAGGGCATTCGTCTTTTGAAAGTCTTTCAAAGGGAGAGTTAAAACCAGCCAGGGATGGAGTCATTCCTCAAATGCTTCTACTACACATATAAGAGACACAACTCCTGACATCAGGGAACTCTGAGTCCAGTAGGAGAGAGAAGACTTGACTGTAAGTGAGTAGGACATAAAGTGGAAAGCCCTAGTGCCCCCAAAGGGACAGGGACGTATGATGACACTCAGTAGCCAGGTGCCACGCAAAGAGAACACAGATGCTGCAATCAGGGACATAGGTTTAAATCTAGCTCCCCCACTTCCTAGTTGTGTGACCTTAGGCAAATCACTCAGGTTATCTGAGCCTCAATTTTCCTTATTTGTAAAATGAAGAAAACAATACTGACCTCACAGGTTGTTGTGAGAATGGAAAGCACTCAGCTCAATGTCAGTCATATAATAGATGCTTGATGAATACAGCCCATCACTGTGCCTGGTAACATCCTCCGGTGTACTTAAGAACAGTCAACACACAGCTTAGCTGACTCGGTCTGACTCTGAGGTATTTTCATGTTGCTGTTACTCACTGTGCTAGTGTTTTACCTTCAATATCTCAGAGTGAAATAAGGTCACGTAAAAGTGCAAGGTCGCCATATCCAAGTTTCAAAAGCTTGATGCTGGGATGGGAGAGGGGAAACTGAGCCCCCTGGAACATGGAGCTCCAGATTCTAGGGGCCTGAAACCCAGTTCAGGCCTCCTCCCTGCACCTCAACTCTGGGTTCCCACAGACCTCCAACCCCAACCCACCCCTTTCCCTCTTCCCTTCAGAATGAGACAGATGAGAGCCAGATCCAGATGGCAGGTGGAGACGTGGAGCTGCCCCGGGAGCTGGCCAAGATGATTGAGGAGGACACAGAGGAGGAGGAGGAGAGGGCCTCAGTCCTTGGGCAGCTGGCCAGCCTCCCTGGCTTGGACCTCGGCTCACTCAAGGACAAGGCCCAGACCACACTGGGGGACCTCAAGCAATCAGCTGAAAAGTGCCACATCATGTGACTACTTCCCTTGGGGTTGCCCATGGGGGTGACCACAGGGCTGGGCCCACATAAGCGCTAAGAGCATGTCTGAACCTCCAGGGTTCCAAACCCTATCTTGGCTTTGTTTCTCTGCCCCACACCAACCGCAGGACTCTTCTCATTCATACCTCCAGCCTGCCTTCTGCTCTCTCCCTCTCCACTGGGAGCAAAGTCCCCACTCCTCACCCTACCCCTTAGGACCCACCTTCCCTACTCAGCCTGGGGAGGCTTCCCAAGATTGTAGGAATAGGTCCAACCCTCTTTGGCCATGGCCCTGAGTGTATGCACACAGGAGCACCCACAGACACACACACACAGGGACATAGAGACCCTGGCATGTGTAGAGGCATATGCCACAGATGCATCCTGGCACACATAGACACACGTACACAGGCCAGCTCCCCTGGGTGCCTAGCTCTTCTAGACACCAACACTCAAATATGCTTAGACAGGGCTTAAGGGGACACCCTCAGCAGAGAGGAGGCCTGAGTCCAAGTTTCCAAATTTATTCTCCTTGAAACCGACTGCCCTTTCTGGGCCTCATTTCATCACCTATAAAATGGGGATGGACTGGGGGATTTCTCAGATTTTTTCTAGCTTGGCCTTCCTGGCCCCTCGGGGTCAAACCCAACCCCTCCTTGGGCAGGGCAGCAGCTGCAGCCAGAGCCTCAAGCGGCTGCCACTGTGGGCTCTGGCTCTTGGAAGCTGAGCGATGCTATGTGAGGGGCCCAGTGCCAAGGATGTAGCTGGCACCGAACAGTAGCCCAGGCGGCTCCAGGCCTTCTCTGGGCCCAGGGCCCAGCCAATTTCTGTTCTGTTCCTGTAGAACTCTCTCTGGATTCCATAGCTGGATTTCCTCTCAGTTCAGTGAAAAATAAAAATTCCAAAAGACCTGCCTATTCTCCCATTTCTTACTGACCTCCAGGAGTCTTGGGGTTCACAGGCCCCTAACCCTGCCCTTGGAGGGGTGCCCTCGACCTCCTCACCCAAGCTTCATAGAAGTGCCACCCTCTATAATATATTCAAGCTCTACCCTCTTAGGGGCCTGGGTGAGGGCAAGGTCCCTGGAAACCACAGCTCAATCTGGCACCTGTGTCTACATCCCCATCCACACCTTAGAGATGGAAGCTGTAACAAAAAGAGGGCAGGGCCACTGGGTCCCAGCTCTGGCACTGCTATGTGACTTTGAGCAGGTCCCCTTCCCTCTGTGAGCCTGTTCTCCCCCCTCTAACAATAATACTGTATGTTTCAAAGGGTGACCACTTGTAATACTCTTGGCACATGATAGATCATATCAATAAATGGTTACTCATTCTTTAAAAAAAAGTGAAGGGTCCAAATCTCATCCTGCTCACTGGTAGGAGGTCCAGGAAACCCACCCGGAGGCTCCACAAGCAGACCATTCCAGGACTCCAGGAGGAAAAAGGTGCTACAGGCCAACCCTGGTGCCTCCACTTGACACTGGTCTGTGAAGAAGCCAGCCAGGATTTACAGGTGGAACAGCCATCTGAGTGTTTGGTTTCCAGTGCAAAGCTTCCATTAGGCCTCCTTTGTAAAATAAGAACAAGGAACATAAGCTTGTGCAATAGGTAATGTGGGGAGGGACAGGTGGGAGAGAGAGAAAGGACGAGGAGTTAGGAGGGTGAGGAGGGGAGCAGGCCCAGGATCTGGGCAGTGCTGCTCCGGCTGCCTCGCTGGCCGCTCTCTCTTGAGCATCCCTGGGGGAAGGGGCCTGGGCCTCTGAGCTGCTCCTAGGCTGCCGCCCGGGGTGGTCACTGGACAAACCCCACCCCCCGACCTTCCTGGAGCTGGAGGAGACCAAGCTCCAGCCCCAGGCTGTGTAAGGGGGGCCATGAGCCCCCTCAGCAGCGTCAGCAGCAAGGCCCACGTCAGCACTCCACCCTCCAGGGGCCTTCTGCCTAATGGGATTGGACAGACCCCTTTCCCCTCAGTGGTTTGCAGGACCAAGAGCGAAAGAGGCAGGGATGTGGGCCATGGGCAGGCTGGGGGGTTAGCACTCACTGAACCCTCACAAAATTATCTGATTGGGGCCTGGGGTCAGGAAGTGGGAGGAGCTGAGCCCCCACACTGGTTCTTTCCTCAGCCTGAGAACCCTGAGAAGCCCTGACCCATCTGTAGGTCCTTGCGATGGGAAGAGGCGACTCAAGGGCAGAAGGAGCCGGCTCTGGGGCTCAAGCAGAGATGGGCAAGGAGGGCAGGCTGAGGGGTCCCCAGGCTCTTCTTTCCCCTGTTCTCTGGGCTCCTTAGTCCGCGTCCCTCTCATCTGTGTCCCCTCCCCCTCTGTCTCATGCCCACCCCCATGCCCTCAGAGTGGGGCTCACCTGCTGGAGCCCCCTCTTCACCTGCACCACTCCCAGCCCACAGGGCCTGTCTACATCCACTACTAGACTGTTACTCTCTTTCCATCCTGTTTCCACTGCCACTTAGACAATCACTTGCTCCATGACTAGTTCACCCTGCTGTGATGTGAAGCAAAGAAAGCCACTTAACACCAAATCTTCCCTTTTCAGACGGATTAAAATCCCATCATTAGGGTACCGTAGTTTAGAGTAAGGCATTTGCATCTCCAGGCCCCTCCCTCCCGTTCTCTCTTCTCACTCTGCAGGCAGTCTGAGGATACAGGAAATGTTGAAAGATGATGAGACAGCCCCTTCGAGCCCTCTCCAGTCTTTCAGGAGAAGACGGACAGCAAAGGTGGCCGGCCTGGCCCACCTCACTCCCACCCTCAGGTTCTCTGGCCCAGAAATAGGGAATTTCAGGGAGACTGGTGGTGAGCCCTGGCCCCTGCCCAGCTCAAGTACCCTTCTGCCCTCCACCCCTCCAGAGAGCTCAGGCCTGGTTCCCAGAGGAAGGAGGGGTGGGCAGAAAACAAGGGACTTTCTGGAGGCCAGTTGGTCTCCAGGGAGGGGCTGGGGAGGGTGGTGATGGGTTTGGAATTTAGAAGATCTCCCCTTCCCCCAGTGGCCAGATGGTCTCTTGTCGAACACTGGAGGCCCTGCGGGGGCAGGCGCTGGGACATCTGGAGGAAATGTCCATTTGCTGAGCCCGAGCTGCTGGCAGTGCCTATCGACCTAGCTGACTCCTGAGGCTGGGCTGGGGGTGGGGAGCCACATGTGAGGGGAGCGGGAGGGAACCACAAAGCCTGCTGCCCTGCCTCCCACAGGGTGCCCGCCAGACATCGCTGTCCCAGAATCCGCGTGAGGCTCGGCACAGCGAGGGCGCCTCGGTGGGCTGGGTCTGGGGAAGCAGCAATTTTGAGGCTGCCTTGCCTTTATTCAACAAGAACTGTGCCTCTGTGTGTATGATCATGAGTGTAAGTCTAAGTGTGGTCTGCATGGGCCTGTGAGCTCGTACACTGCGGATTTTTGCACGTGTCTGTCTGTCGCCTGTGGCCTGTGTCTGTGAGATTTCGAGTGTATAGGTGTGGGTGTATTACTCTAGGGAAGGTGGCCCTTGACCTGCCCTCTTCCCTCATGCTCCAGCCTCAGGGGCGGGCCATCTCCCTCTCAGAAAGGGCTGGGATGGCAGCTGGCCTCTGAGGACAAGAGTCCTCCTGGAGGACCTTCTACAGGAACCAAGGTTCTATGTCCTCCCCACCCCCGTTAGCAAAGGAAGGGGCAGGCTGGGCACAGGGACACCTGGGTCCCTCAGTCTGCTCCGGAGGCCCATCTGCTTCTCCCAGGGTTGGTCCCTTGGGAAACAGAAGCCAGGCTCAGGTGCTTCCCAGCTTGGCTCCATGCTGGCTGGGCTTGGGAGGACAGGGCGGGGTGAGGCACCCAGATGCTGGGGGGTGGGGTGGGGTTTGCCTTGCCTGGGGCACATTCAAAGTGTTAAAGGTGAAGAGGTGGAAACAACTCGCTCCTAGGAGGAAAAATGCATTATTAAAAACACAGATTAGTGTACTTCCCATAGGCCTAGGAAGAAAGCCCTAAAGAGAGACCCACCTCTTCCAGCTGGGCTGCCTCCGCCCTTGGCAGGTGACAGACACAGGACCAGCCTGGAAGCCATCTAAATGTTCTCTTGCCTAGGGAGGGTCTCAGCCTCCCAGGCCTTTCCTGTACCCAGTTCCCCCATGGGGGCCCACTCCTCCATACCCACATGTGTAATAATTTCAGGCCCCTTTTCTCAGACAGCCAGTACAGACACCACAAACATAAAACACCTGAGGGCTGTAGCCCAACCCTCCGTCCCATTATCCTTCTGCTCAGTTAGTCTCTCACAAACCCCATCCTTCCTCATTCCCATTCTCTCTCTCTCAGTCTTCTCCATTCACCCACTCAGCTGGTCCATTCATTCTCCTTCCTTCCCTTCATTTTACTCATTTTCATCCAACCCATTCCCAGAGATAATCTGCATACATTCCTCTAAGTCTGAAAGTAACATTTCAACGAATTCTTACTATGTGCCAGGCTCATGCAGTGACTCATTTAATCCTTACACATTCCCACAGGGCATTCATCTTCATCCTCATTTTACTGAGAAATTGGCTAATCAGTGAGTCTCAAACTTCAGGGCCAAATGGCAGGGCCAGGATTTCAGTCGTGCCTCCTGCCCTCTGGGCCACTGCTCTACACTGCTTCCCAACGGTCAGGCCAAGGGCTTCGGGGACGTGAGGCCCCTCCCGGTGTGTCCCCTCCCCTGTGCGGAAGTCCTGCAAGGTCGCATGGGGGCTGCGCAGCAGGGGGCTCCTGCTTTGGTGCTGCCTGAGGAGTGAATGCCCCCTACTTTAAGTCCCCAAAGACGCTCCCAAGTTGAGTGCCATTCAGACCAAGACTGGGGTGAGATGAGGGAGAGGGCTGCTGGAGACCACCTCAACTTGGAGGTCCTGGGGGCTGGGCATGAGCACAAGACACCACAGAGGATGTCCCTTCCCCAGTCTAGCTCACTGCCCACTCACTGGCTCAGGGTAAGAGGGCATGGGGCCAGGGAACTTGTCTGAGGCAAGGGGGTGGGCAGTGCGGAACGCACAGGTTTTACAGGACTGCCCTCCTGCCACCGAAACCCCCTCCAGGTGCAAAGAGGAGGGGCCTTGCCTGAGCCCACACTGGTCTCTGAGTGGTGGGAGGACTGGTGGCTGGTCAGCCTGGCTCTCCCGGGTCCCTCAGGGGTTGAGGGCAGGAGGCAGATTGGTTCTCACTCCCCCACCACCTTGTGGCTTTCCCAGCCCTCCCCCAGGTCACCCAGCTTTTCCTGGGGCCCCTCTAGCCTGGGCCTGTGAACAGAGGCTAGCTACCTCTCCTGTTTTTCCCAGAGCAAAAGAAGCCAAAGTTTAGAAAATAATTTAATAGAAAAACCATGAATTACATTCTTTACACCCAGCCTCCTGCAGGGAAGGCAGACAACTGTTGTCCCAAGGAGGCATTTAAGGGAAGAAGGGTTGGAAATTGCTAACCCCTCTCTGATTTTTTTTTTTAAAGGAAATCCCTAAATAACCCCAGCTGTGCACATTCTTCCCAGATTATAGTGAGATTAAAAGTTGTTCTCCTACAAGCCCATGGAGGACTGCTGAGGAGATACTA